CAAAAACCATGTATCACCAGAGGTTACAAACACACTCTCTGTACCTCGTGGGTTCTATTCCATTTGGAATCTTTCAGATGCCCTCTAGATCGGTCCGCACCTATCACCGATACTATACTCTGGATATCCAGCATACATATGCCCACATACAAATTCATATTCACACAGAGAGAGGAAGACACACACACACACACACACACACACACACACACACACACACACACAAGCACACACACACACAAACAAAGAAACAAACAAACTCTCTCTCTCTCTCTCTCTCTCTCTCTCTCTCTCTCTCTCTCTCTCTCTCTCTCTCTCTCCCCCGCTGTTTCACACACAGATACACCTATACTCACACTTACACACACACATACATGACAAATGCACATACGCAGGTGTACATGAACGCACTCACTCACATCCCAGTACCAATAAAAACAACAACACATGCAACACCAGCAACACGTTCAGACTAAGTTTCATCCACTGTAGTCTTTGACCTTGCTCTGAATAATAAAACTTCTGATTGAACGAATATTATTTTTTATATTATGTTTCATAATAATACGAGGATGTAGATACTTTTCTGCAGCTCCCTTCTCGTGTGAACACAGCTCTTGGTGTCTCACATAAACGCAAGTGCATGTGAAATTCATAAATTGCATACCAAAGATTGAAGATTGACATATTTTTTATAGAGGGGGGAGGGTGACTCATTGAGAGAAAAAGAGAGAGAGAGAGAAAGAGAGAAAGAGAGAGAGAGAGAGAAAGAGGGGGGGCGAGAGGAGAGGAGAGAACGGGAGAGAGGAAAAGGGAGAAGGAGAAAGGGATAGAGAAAGAAAGAAAGGAAAAAGACAGAGAGAAAACAAGAGGGAGAAAGAAATGGAGAGAAGTCAAGGAATTTTAAAACAATAAAATAGATAGTCTCAACTTCGTGCGTACATCTTGCCCGATGTAGCTTAATGAGGCCTTGAACTTAAACATCTGGACTGTCGACACACTAGATTAATTTTAGCACCGTTCTGTGTACGTGATGGTCAATTGTGTGTGTTTAGTCGAGGTACCAGCACACATTAATATGTGTCGCTTCTATGCTGGTGGCAGCACGGGGTTGTTGGCTTGTATTATGAAACATTAAAGTATAAAACATTTATTATTATATAATATGTATATATACATCACATATATATACATATATATATATATATATATATATATATATATATATATATATATATAGAATCAATTCTCGAATCTCAACATTGTTGTCTTTTCACTATTCAAATCCTTTCAAAATTTAGCATGCGAAATCCTATTTTGTGGCTGGAATATGAATATTATGAAGCTGGGCTGGGACCAAAAGAACTATATTGCTATCATTGAATATTAATTATCATAAATAGGTCCGCCCCCCCCCCTTTCTCTCTCTCTCTCTCTCTCTCTCTCTCTCTCTCTCTCTCTCTCTCTCTCTCTCTCTCTCTCTCTCTCTCTCTCTCTCTCTCTCTCTCTCTCTCTCTTTCTCTATCTCTTTCACTTTTTCTCTGTCTCGTTTTTTCTCTCTATGAAATATCTCTATCAAATATATCTCTATCTTTCTTCCTCTTTTTTATCTATCTATCTATATATCTATCTATATATGTATATATACATATTATATATAATATATATGTATAAATATAATATATAATATATGCATTATATTATATCCCACTCTTCCCCCTCTCTCTCCCTCTCTGTTTCTCTCTATCTATCTATCTATCTATCTATCTATCTATCTATCTATCTATCTATCTATCTATCTATCTATCTATCTATCTATCTATCTATCTATCAATCTATCTATCTATCTATCTATCTATCTATCTATCTATCTTTCTCTGTCCCTTTCTCTCTCTCTCTCTCTCTCTCTCTCTCTCTCTCTCTCTCTCTCTCTCTCTCTCTCTCTCTCTCATATATAGTGGTATAAAACATTTATGTGCCTCTATATAATATTTTATAATATGTGTCCATCCACTGACTATTCATGTGTGAGCAACTCTGTGAATTTGTGTGAGTATGTGTGTGTGTAT